TTGGCTAAAATATTTACAGGTTGCTAACCAATTGGATTCTGCTGTATTTGGTTATAATCAGGGAGCGGCCATCTGACATACATTCAGCATGTACAGGAGGAGGCTCTGCCATATGTATCAGTTGTATCCCTTTTAAAGCCCTTTGGGCATCTCCCCCCCCTTTCTCGGTACCTTCCGTGTACGTGACAACCACATGTGTGGTTCCAGCCGGCTCGTACTGTTCTTGGCCTTCTGGAAGGCTAAAAGATAAGTAGGGGCCGCTGATGTTCTCTGTCGCCCCCCTATCTGTTCCGATTAGGTAGCCTTGACTTGCCGGCGCGCCAGTCAGTTCTTGTTTTGACTAGTTACAGCCTTATAGAATCATTCCCTTTATTTTATTAATTATTCCCTCAGGCTGCAAAGAAAAGGTGAAAGTCTTTATGAACAGATATATTGGTGAGAAATTTGATGATTATCGGTCGCTGTTTTGGTACATTAAACCACATTAAGCTTTTTCACGTTAAGCATTTTAGAATGTCAAAAAAACAGCCGTAGGGCGGCGACAAATGTAAAAAGTGAATTGTGAGTAAGATTGTGTGATAATGATTTATGTGTCACTGCAGAACCGCGTTTTATATGTACAAGTATACCACAAAATGTGCGTCATGACAGAATTAGGTGGCGGCTGGAGCTTGTCCCCTTTCTCTTATTGTTACTTATTATTAAGTCGCATGGATAATATCCCCAAAAATCCTACGCCGGGCCACTGAGTCCGTGTCGATTTCTGCTTAGACCGCTTCCGCGTTTGATACGCAGCATTTCCTGTTTGTAGATGAAAGTGAAAGTATTTTAATACTGGACTATCCATTTTGTCAAGAAACACGGATAAGATTCTGTATTGCGAGGTAAGATTTTAGTCAACAGATATAGCTTATTTTATTATACGTTTTATCTGGGAGTATATTATATATATTAGAGCGGATGCTATATACTGTTTCTCAAACCAGTCCTGGGAGAACCCACACATATATTTGTGTCTTTGTGTGTGTATATATGTGTAGTTCATAGAGGCCCCAGCATCAGTCAGCTGGTCTAGATCGGCACAAAAATGGAGCGAGCTGCTTCTGAAATGAGCCCCCCTGTGGAGTGTAAAACAAGGAGAACTGAGAGGTAAGACAGAACCTGTATGTTTATACTGCTTTACACACGTCCATAAAAAATAAGCGTTCCAGCATTCTCAAAAGAGAGAGTTATCTGTCTTAACTTAATTCACTTCCTCGAGACTTAATTGATTCAGGTCTGTGGGGCAGATGATTATGTTTAATCAGTTATTAAATTTATGAAATTTAATTTCCTTCAAGAATTTACATTTAGTTGTACTCCCTGGACGCCGTCCTCTGCTGCCACCTAGCGCTGATTCTTGAGTTTTTCACATCTTTATGGTTCGAGGTGATTTTCTGAAAATACGCTAAAATAAAGTTTATATTTTCGTATGGTAACTTGGTGAAATTTATTGTGGGGGGGCCCATTTAAGGCTAAATTTATATAATATCAAGCAAGCACAGGCAAGTCTAGCAACGGAGGCTGTAACAATGATACCAAACCTTTCATACTGGGATCTTCATTTTAGGTGAGACACTTATTTCATATTAAAGCTAAATGTAAACAAGGGGCCTGTTTCACAAAGCAGGATTACTTGCTTAGCCAGATAACTTGCCAGATTTAAGGTAGTCTGGGCGAAATGTAAGTTGATGAAAATGAGGTCTATTTAGCCCAGACTACCTTAAATCTGGCAAGTTATCTGGCTAAGCAAGTAATCCTGCTTTGTGAAACAGACCCCAAAAGCTTCACAGCATATCAAAGTACATGAAGACAGAGCAGAAGGTTAAACAGCTGAAGATTTAATGTGACCCTGTCCACAGTATGTGGGTTATATTTATAGAATGAGGATCTTTCCTCTCACTGCCCACAGTGTCCTGATGGAGAGAGCAGGCTCACCTGTACCCAGCTGTGTTTCCCTGAAGAGTGACAAGTCAATGATAGAACCAATCAGCTTCAGAGAGGGACGTTTTCCTACAGATCAAAGGTAAATATACATTTAAACATTGTTTAAAACATCTAGACTCTCAGTCAAAAGACATACAGGCAAACTTCAACTTTCAATTTTTTTAACTTTTGCAAATCCCATTGTCTTTGAAAATGTAAACAGAAGTTATGTCTGTCTTCTGTATAAATCACATCTGAGGTAAAAGGATGAGGATTACTGTAAAGACTGACTTCTTGCGAGCTGGAATTAGAAGGCAAATTGAAAAGTGCATTTTAAATGTCAATCCTCAGCATGCAGCTGGAAAAAAGCTACTTTTCTATATCGATTAAGCATGACTGGACAATAGATTGTCTTCTTGTGGGATGGATGTTTCTGCTTTGATAATAAATAGATCCTCATGGGTTCCTTAGCTCTGTTCAGACTGAGGCTTTAGTTTGAACATGTTTAATGGAACAGTGCCTGTTACTAATTAGCTAGTTGTTATGGGATCGGGGGATGGTGCAGGTGAGGAAAGGATGACGATCCACAGTGCGGCTCCAAGATGACAGGGGTTT